GCGAATCTATTTCTGTTCGCAGACCCCGAATGCCGCATGGGTAGACTCGTAAAGGGAGATATATTTTCCTTCGTGGCCGTCGTTTTTGAGCCAGTTCACAGGAAGCAGGACATACCCACTTTTGTGAGTCTTCCTCCATCTTCATCCTTTTTTCATGATCTCGAAATTGAGTACTATTCCGACGTATGACTTCTTTCGGATCAACCTCCTCTTGAGTGTCACAATAGAGCGAACAACCTCAACATCCGAAGTGAATTTGTTTTTTCAGCAGCCGACTTCATACACTTCAGGGAATCCTCCAACTCTTCGCTTCCATGCGACCGCATAAGAACTCTTGGCCGCAGCGGTGACGCCACGAAATTCGCTTCCAATTTGTCCATATCCTCACTGATCCCATAGCAAGTCCACATGTGTGTGAATAGATGTTGCCGTTGAATGTACAGTAGGCAGCACTTGTTGTCAAGTTGATTAATCCCTTCTGATACTCTCTTCCAGATGCGAAATTGCTAACAGGTCCGTCAGCGTCTCGTCTCCACAAATGTCCGTCAACACAGATTGCACATCAAAACTAACCAGCAATTCTGTTTCCTCAAAGTGTTGTGCTTGTGATGCTCTTGACTTTGAGACACATGAACTTGGCCAATTTGTGTATTGCTCCAGACTTGTTGTTAACTATCAACCTCAGAGATCTTCTTCTTTGTGCAGCTTCGGTAGCCCGTAGGCTGCTCTTCCCGTGCATACATTTTAACATGTCCCATACATTTACATTGACATTCCATTTTCTTGGTCTTTTGTTGTCTGCACATCGCAAGTGTCGCATGAAGGACCAATTGTTCATTCCTTTCCAGCCTTCTTCGTATCCTCCAAAGTCTCTCCCTCCGTGTGAGTTGACAAGGCCTAAAGCTTCAGCGATTATCTCCATCCCCACTTGCTGTTTTTCCTACTCAGGGCGATGGTGATGCGCTTCAGCGGAAGAGAAAAGTGTACTCTTTTCTTGAGGATCAAGAGCGAACGAGGCCTAATTCGGCAGGTGGCGTCGCCTTGGAAGCCCCTTCAACCGGGCGCAACAGCGTTAATCGACGTTGCCGCATGACGCCCTGGCACCGGTGACTGCAGTGGAGCAGCACAGTCACCACGACGACTAGGCGGCGAGCTCGAACCGGATCCGGTACAAGTGGGGGCAATAGATGCGAAGAAAAGTGGCTTCATAATTGTTGAGCTCACTTGCGTTTCGAGTGTGAAAGTGATGCGTGAAGAGATTGCAAGCTCGGTTGCTTTATCGGAAGATACATGCCGACGCTGCTTCGATTTTTACGGTGAAAAGGTGCTCAGCTTTCGTGCGTCACGTGGGGAAGATGATCAGACCGAGATGGCCTCGTCAGAAACGAGTTTTCTCAACTCGTCAGCTTCAATTTTGCTGTGCCGACGCTGCCTCGGTCTGATCATCCTCGTCCCGTAGCGCAGGCAAGCTGAGCACCTTTTCACCGCGCAATCGAACCAGCCTCGACATGTATCTTCCGGCAACGCCGATCGCACTCTGCCCATCCGACCGTCTGTTGTGTCGGTCGTTGAGGCACTCCACTTGTCTCCATGGCGGCGTGTCGCCTGGCGATTGAACCACTTCCCTCATGTCTTGTCGCAACTGTACATAGCCGCGTTGCGTTGCGTTGCGTTGCGTTGCATTTGCTGGTTTGGGGCGATCACCGTGCAGACGGGACGCCGAAGAGTCCAGTTCACGCGAGTCGTAAGTGGACGCTATCTCTCCATCACCATCGGCAACAGACGCCGAGTGCACTTGCGCTAGCGGATATCCTCACTTTTGCGCCCGGCAATGTTGTTGTCGTGTTTGCCGAGTCGTCCGAGCGCGGGCGGGAGGCGCGAATTGTGCGAAAAGTGTGAGCAATCGGCCGCAAAAGCCGACCGTTG